CCTATAAAACCCTAAACCCCCTATAAAGTCCCCAAAACCCCTAAACCCCAACCCGCATACCCCCCTCCCCCTAATATTTCCCCCCCCCCTCCACCCCCAAATATTAAATACTCCCCATTCCCATTGTGGTATATTAAAATATATTGCGAGTATTCAATATTACGTGGGGTGGGGGGCCTAAACCCTAAACTCTAGTGTGGGGGGTTGAAAATTAGGGGGAGTGGATTACTGTCTACCTTCACCGGCTTCACGGCCGTCATCACCGAGTCTGAACCTTGCACCAAGGTGCCATGATGAGGTAGGAAAATCTTAAAAAAGTCGGTGTTAAGAGTTTATCTACAGCCTGTGGACTTTCAAAGTCTAGGATTTAGGGTTAAGGATGAACGGTTTAGGATTTCAGGTCAAGGGGCTTGGTTTTTACGGCGTTTGGGTTTGGGGTATCTCAAGCCCAGGACATCTAGGGACCCAAGCACTTAGGGTTGGGTTTTGGGGTTTAGGGTTTAGGGTGGGGACCTGGGGTTGCACTTAGGGTTTTGGGCTTGAGGGTTGAAGATCAAGACCTGACGATACCCCTCGTTGTCTGGGATTCTGCAGCAACATTGAGCCACACTTGTGCTTAATTTCCACTGCGAACTCTCCCTGCATGGTAAATTAACCCGTCTCCTGTCCTTCGTGCAAATTCATGGGGAGCAGCCGGAGAGAGTGCTCCTACCTCAACTAAAATGTTGTCCTCTTCTTTCAGACTCCAAACAGTACTAAGCTACTCTTGTTCTGCACTGCTTGAGAACTTATCCCCTCCCCCTGATATTAAACCCCCCGCCCCCTAATCACAAATGCTCCCATTGTGGTATAGTGTAAAATATTTGAGAATATTTAATATTCGGGGCGGGGAGGGGATTCGCCAGCAAACTGAGCCCACCGGCCAGCACTTTTGCTCACCCTCCTCCTGGCCCCAAACCCAGAACCTCAGGTGGAGGAGTCCATCCAAACAGTATCTTCTATGGGATCTTCCCCAAATTAGGGGTACCTTTTTGGGGCTCGGGTCCCGATAAGGCTTATAGTATTTTGGGGTCTATATTGGGGTCCCCCCCTATTTTGGGAAGTTACCACATGAGCTGTAAGCAAAACTGCTGATGTGCAACGCCGGATCCATTTGGTTTTTGCCTATAGATATAGGGGTTATAGGTGTTATTTTGGGATAATGGAAAAGAAAATGGAAACTACTATTTAGGGTTAGGGTTTAAGGTATAGTCCCGCTTAAGTAGATAGAATAATGGAATATGGGGTATATGGGAATCTTATTTTCATATATCCAAAGCCATAGTCTATCTACTTAAGGGGGACTATACCTCCACCAGTGTCACTACGTCAGGGACTTTATCCTCTTGGTGCCCAGCTCGCATTCTGGAAGGGACTGGCACACCTGCTGCACCGAATCCAGTACGAAACCGTGGCCGATAATCCTTCAGGGCTCCTTTCATGTTAAGCAGCTTACTCTAGACTCTAAACTGCTACTTGGTGTCTGCTACCCTGCCTGTAAGTAAGGTCACTACAGGGCCCCTGTCCACCTGTCTCACAGCTCCTGCGCCTCTCTTTTTCGGGGGGTCTCCTGTTTGAAAAGCAACTTGCAGGTCTAGTGTTGAAGCCCGAGAGTTGGAACATCAGCATCCCATACCGTTTAGGGTTTATTAGACCTATATAGGGGTTATATAGGGGTTATATAGGGGTCATATTGGGGTTATATTGGGGTATATTGGGATAATGGAATATAAAATGGAAACTACTATTTAGGGTTGAGGCTTCCGGGCCATACCGCAGGAAATGCGAAGAGAGAAAAGAAAGCCTTCACCCCACAGGCAACATACAGTATGCCTATATCAGACCCCTCTGACCCCTATGTGTCACTACATTCACCTTTGTAACCCCAATATAACCCTAATATAACATAGTAGCTTCCATTTTCCTTTCCATTATCCCTATATATTCCCTATATAACTCCAATATTTTCGTGTTCCAACTGCTTGGCCTTAACTTTAGCAGGGAGTGTCTCAGACTGGCCATGCGCCGCCCGCAGGCAGGGCTTGCGCATTCTTGACAGAGTCTGGATCGCCTTCTTCCTGCAGCCTTTTAGGATTGCCGAAGCAATAGCAACAGGACTTTCGAATTTAGGGGCAAGAGTTTAGATTTCAGCTAACCCCAAAACATGTTCAGGAGGGCAATAATGAAAGCAAGACTTGAAGTTATTTCTTTCCAAGCTCCTCCTTTGCTTCGGCAAGCCATGAGCTTTAAAATTTTGCGTGAGGGATCCAGTTAATTCAGAAGATTCCCAAGCCGCTGTCAAACAGGGAATCAGAAGATTCCAAAGCTCTGCAGGGTTCACGGGGCAAACGCCGCTTCTCCCCACCCAGGCATGTGCCAACATTCATTAGGGCCTTTGTATTGAGCAACAGAGTCCTTGATGTAGGATTCCTCAAACCAGGTAGTATGTATGCCAGGGTCTCCGTATCCTGATGTCCTGAAGTAGTAAAGCCTAACTGATGACTGTTAGTTTGGCACAACCCAAGCCAAACCAAAGCAAACCTAACGGAAAGAACTGGCCTCTCTTGCAAGAGGCCAGCTTCCACCCTGCGAAGCTAAACGCCATGGAGCAGGTAACGAGACCGAGCTCTTAAAACGACGTCATACTTGATTGAGTGCACTGTGGATTTTTGTTGATATGATGTTTACTTTGAGAACTGTTACGTTTGAGCTTGCGTTTACATAGGCCTCCGAAGCGGGATCACTCGCTTGGAGCTCGGGCAAGGATGCTCCATTTCGCGGGGGACCGGCTCTCGGAAAAATGCAGCGTGTCCAAAAGTGTGGTTGAGGTGCCTGACCGAAGATCCCCGTTCAGGGATGGCCAGCAAAGACCTCCTTTTGCCACACTTCAACAGGAACGAAGACATCCCTGAGTCAAGATGTCATCAGGCTAGTCCCTCACATGCCTGGTCAAATTAATCACAAGTCTAGCGATATCCTCCAGCTCCAGGGCCTCAGATGAAGGGACACAAAGGCATTTCCCAGACTCAAGGCCAAGCCGGGGCACGCCATCCCGGAGGATCTCGTCGTCATCCTCCGCTGGTTCCTCTTCGCCCTCGCTACGCCTCGGCTCCAGACAGCTTTGCAGAGCACAAAATACTACGATATACAGAAATATTCTCCGGTAAGCTTGCCTATTTGCTGTGGGATGTCAGCAGACACATCGCAAGCCTACAGAAGGCGATGCATGCAAGGCACCAATTATCCACCTTGCGCTTGCCCTGACAGTGGATAAGATGATGTGGAAGGCAGTCACACGCAAGCCACTGCCCTGCCCACCTTCTGCCGCTGCCTTTGCCTTGCCTTTTGCATGGCATCCTCTTGGAGGTTGAGCATGTTAAGGCAAGTCGACCTAGGTAGGCAATGCTATGGGGTTGCATACGGATGATGGAAAAGAAAATGGAAACTACTATAATTAATTTGGTTTTATAGGGACAATGGAAAAGAAAATGGAAACTACTATAACGGTGGTACGAGAAGCAGTCTGAACTACAGAAAATGCCTGAGATGACGACGCAGTGGCGCGCACTTTTGCATTGTCGTCTTTCATGCGGGTGGTCATGGCCTGTGACAAACCCTGCAAGAGCTGGGTTCCAGGATTCAGCCTCTCTGGAAGTTTTCATAGGAAAAACCATGATGTTTTTGGGGCGTGTGAATTTTGCGCTCAATGGAGGATCAATTGGAAATGAGATGGAAAGTGAATTCGGAAATAACATGAAAAGCTACATGGAAACTATGTAGTGATTGTTAGTGCAAAGCTCGGGTTCTACCTCGTGCATCCTTGTGCAAAGCCGCACCACGCCTCCCGCACACAGGCTCGCTGGACCCCCAGCCTCTGCTAGCTCAGGAGGGTGTAGGGTTCGCATTAGGGTTTAGGGGTTAAGGGTTTTGAGGTTTAGGGTCTAGGGGTTTAGGGTTGAGGGTTTAGGGGTTCTGGGGTTAAGGGTTAAGGGGGTTAGGGTTTACATAGGGTTTAGTTTTTACTGTCACACCACGAGACAACATCCAGTCGTGACCCCAGCCAGCAGTTGCCGGAGCACCCTTCGACCCAAGAGACCAGACATCTCCTCGTTTCCAACAAGCTGATACTTTGCACCATGTAATAGTAATGGTAGTATGAGTATTTACACAAGCAGAAAACAGAAAGTAGTGATAATAGTAATAACAGTAGCAATATAATAGCAATAATACGAATGAAAATAATATCAATGACAGTGAAATTACTAAATAGCAGTGCCGGCAACAATATTCAATGAACCTTGTTGCAGGGGAACGACCATCACCATAACCATCACCAAGCGTAGCGACACCATGAGGAGGCCCAGCTTGACTCTTAAGCATCGAAACACTCCACATGAGCTACAGTCAATAATTCCCCAGAAAATGAATGAACACATACGATTGGGGGTTTAGGGTGTGGGGTTTAGGGTATATTTCCTGCATAGCTGCATGGCTACATGAGCTACATTACCCCAATAACAGAGAATCAAATGGAAAAGACAAAATTGATTTTTTAGCGGGTTCTAGGGATTCACATTACCCAGAGAATTAATGGGCATGGGTTCCTAATTAGTCAGGGTTTAAGATTTAGGATGGTTTAGGTTTAGGGTTGTGAACACCAAGCGTGGCAACTGGACTCATGTAAAGAGCTTTGCTTATGATGAACTCCTTAAGTAGCGCAGTGAGCTGTGTAATGTAGACAGCGCTGCCACCAAAAATACTACCTTGCCTGGAGTGCTGCAGCCCTTAAAACCGGTTTGATTTTCCAGACTGCCGCAATGGAGGCCCCAAGTTGTCGTAAGACTCAATCCTAAGCCTCAAGATCATTCCTGATTATGTGGATAAATATACATATATATTGCAAAAATATATACACACACATATATATATATATAGAGCTCACGTAGAGATCGGAGGTAATTAATACAGTCCAGCTGCTGCTCTGTTCGGGCCAAATCCAGGAGTGACTCCGCCGCAGCCTTGGAGCGCCCGAGTCCCACTTTTGCACTCCCGGAGGTTAGTGAGTAGGGAGCATGGGAATATAGCATATAGGAATTATGTACTTGGGGAATATATTCCCCCATTCCCTCCAAGGCACCAGCGAGCAAAAGAGCTCATGTTATCGAGTTGTCCTGTATGAATGCTGCAAACATGCCAGGATCTGAGGCATCGGCTTGCCTCACATCACTGGATGTGTCGGTGAGGCCGCGCTTCACCAGGCACTGAATGCAGACCTCACTCTGCGAAGCAGGAAGAAAGTCTCCGCTTCTCACAAGCAGCCGCAGTGCGAGCCATCTGAGTAATTTTTTCCTCTGGTTGTTGAACCTAGTAAGATTAAAATCCTTATATAAAATACTATACCCAAAAGGAGGATATCCATAGTATCCCCAAATAAAATACTACTCATCTGAGGACATCTCATTGTGTGCAATCTTCTCCGTGACGCCCAGCCGGCTGATGGATACTGCTGCAGCCTCTCGAACCTGCATGTTTCGATCGGGAGCATGGATATCATGGATGGATAGGAACTGGTGCAACTGCAATAGCTTTTTAGATGTATCAAGTAGATGCGCATCCTCCATGCAGGACGCCTATACAAGGTAATCAAACTGCTTGGTGCCTTTTCATCTAGACATGGATTCCCAAGACAGGCCTGAGCATGCGCATCCCGCATGGCATCCGCCAAATGCGCTGCAGCTGGAGCTGCGAAGGTCCTTACCAACTGCACGTAAGAAGAGCTTGGACGCAAAGTGCAAGAAAGGGATGTGACCATCATTCATCTAGTTGAGGTCCAGAGATGTGGCAGAGACAGGCAGAAGCAGCTGCAGCAGCAGGAGCATGAGTGCGTCGGCACCGGTAGGGTAATCCGGTGAGTGAAACAAATCTTGTACCACTTAGGACCCCAAAAATATGGTAACTCATAGGGCATGAAGTATATGGTGGCAGCAGGACAATAACAATCACCAAACACATCACGGAAAGCCGAGGCACCCAATCCGCCCCAGCGAGACGGCGGAGCAACGCCGAACGACGTGATCCGGATCTTTTAAGGTCTCCAGCAGCTTTGGCCTTGCCAGACAGCCCCCATCCCATCTACAACAGCTGAAACCCCTCCAGTAAGATCCTGACACGGCGGTCGAAGCGCTCTTACCGCCAATCTGGCCTTAGAGATTGGCTCAATTTCTGGCTGCCTTGCTATTTTTCGATCAATAGAAGGCCCGCACCTATCGCTTTGGCCGCGGCTGCTCGAACATGGCTCTGGCTGTCCGACAAGCAGGCGGCCAGCGCATCCGTGGCAGTTGTTGCACCTCACCGGGCAGGGACGAGATGCGGCAAAGCAATCCTGCCATTGTGCTGCTGCCCATGCCGCCCAGATGCTCAACATGCCCAGCGCCGCAGCGGCTGCGCTCTTGATCTCAGAACCTCAGCTGAGCCAGGTGGCCAGTTCCAGCAAACATCATTGCCAATCGATGCCAAGTTACTGGGATCCTCCAAAGCATCTGTCAGCACCTCCAGAACTGCTGCGGAGTTGACGCCTGAAGCTTTCATGCAGAAGCCGCAAGCAGAGCACCTGAGCACAGATGCTGCCAAGCCACCCAAATAGCCCAAAGAGGAGATGGCCTCAGCTTCGGGTTCCAGCAGGATTCACATTGAGTACAGGGGACTGGACAAACCATAGCTGGCCGAGCTGCGGCTACTCGTACTCGCTCCTCATTGTCACACGACGCTTGTAGCAAAGCCGGCAAAGCCTCACCAGGTCTTCGTATGTATGTCGATTTGGGGCTCAAGGTGGACCCGGGGATCAAATAGGATGAACACCCCCTACCTCAGCGGCAGCTCGACCCAGCTGACCGAGTGCCGTTGCGACCTTGAGCAATCCAAAGGTGAAGGAGCTTGCAACAGCAGGCGAAACACAGAACACCACTGAGGCAAGGACAGCAGCTCGCACCTCCTCCTCACGGTCCCGAAGGCTCACGATTAGCGAAGGCACGGCCGGGGCGGCGTGCTCACCCAGCCTGGCCAAAACGAGACACCTGAACTACCTGCTCTGAATCTCCGAAGAAAAGCAAATAGCATCCCTACCCCGAGCATGCCTCTCCAGTGCACGCGCAGCAGCTCGTCGAATGAAGCCTCAAGCAACGGATGAGCCTCTTAGTTGCCAGAATATGTTGGTCTACTGTCACCAATCGTGGATCCTGTCATTTAAGCTTGCTACTGCTGACAGCCATGCTTGCCAGGGCACTGTCGGTGTCTGTAAGGCACGTCGTCAACGCGGGAACCGCACTCACCACCTAGCTTGGCGATCTCAAGCAGCAAGGTGCGGGACAAGAATCTATTTCACCGGGCACTAGTATAATAGAGTATAGCATTGGGGTCATATAGGGTTTATATTGGGACAATGGAAAAGAGAATGGATACTATTATAGTGGCGTCAGATAGGGCTCAGGGTTTAGGGTTTAGGGTTTAGGGGTACCAGGCCCACAAAGCTCAATTCATCTCCTGAGCCTCGCACCACGTGGATCCCTTCGCGGTGGCGTCGGTAACGAGAGCCATCAGGCAAAGCTTCCACCTTAGCTTGGCCGGCTTGAGCCTCAAACCCTGACATGGAACATGAGCTCTAGTAAATTGGGGTTATATAGGGGCAATGGAGTAGAACATGGAAGCTACTATAGTATTCCATTATCCCAAAATAACCTATATACTGTAGTCTAAACTCCTGACATCCACCTTACCCCTATATAATCCCCTGTAGAACCCCCTTGAAGGAGTTTGGACTATAGCTCATATGCCATCAACTCAGGCGACCACCGAGCTGGTTTGGCCAGCCATATTCATCAAGGCCTTCGTCGCATTGAGACGTACGCGTCGCCGGGGATCCTTCAACGCCTCGCTCAGAACAGGCACCACGTTCTCGGCGTGCCTTGGAAAACTGGCATATTGGGCGTGTGATAGGGGGAATGTTGGAATAATGTAGGGCAATATAAGGCTATATAGGGATAATGGAAAAGAAAATGGAAGCACCCAATAATACTAGAATATGGCTGCCATATGTTGGTCTTGCAAGTCAATGAACGGATAGTTCCCAACACGGCAAGAGAAAATATCTACCACATCAAATCTTGTCCATGATGCGGGTTGCCATGACTTGGTCAAAAGAAATGCCCTTCATGGGATGTGTGATGTAGACCCCTGATTCAAAAAAAAACTCCTGTTAAGTGCCATAATACTAGGATCCCTATTATAACCCTTTTTAAGGGGAGGGGGTTATAAATCCAGGGGTCTACATTATCCATGCGATCCGACCTTAAACAAAAGATCTCGACAGGCAAAGGAGCGCATCCATGAGCAGTGACAACCGATACCTGCTTCGACAAAATTGAGGGGGATCCATGTTTCTCTTGTAGGTTAGGATGGAACCCATGTATAATCCCCCGCTCAACCCCTTTATAACCCCCTCATAGACCCCAATAGAACCCTGTATATACCAGCATAGAACCTTCTGATACCCCTATTTAACCCCTGAAAAAACCCTATAAAGGGGTTGTGTGTGTGTTGCGTGCTGAAAGCTGCAGTCTTGATTGAGATCACAAACATCCTCTCCGGTAGCTGATAGCGTCCCTGTTCAAAGCATCAACTGCTATGAACTGAAGGGTGCAGTATACAATTATCATACACTTTGGCATCCCCATGGTAACAGTAGCTGTTCCTTTGGTTTTGGGGGTAGTCGATTGCGGAATCAAATGGTCAAGCCCAGACATCTTCAAGCCTCACGGTCGAATCCGGATGCTCTTCAGCCAGAATTGCCTGAAGGCCAAGAAGCGGCAGAGGTGTCACTCTCAGGCCACCACAGTTTGGGCATATTCCAAATTCCAGAGACATCCACTATCGGGATTTCCATATATAGGAGGCCCCGACATAAGCCCACCACACTGCAAACATTATAATGGGGACCTCCAAACAGGATACCACAGCTGAAGGGGGAACTGGCTTTCAATCCAGACCCCAGGGCCAGTTTACAAGTCCGACCCCTCTGCACTGCAGATTCACCTGACATCCTTTCACCACCTTCCATGCATAAAAGCAAGAAGCAACAATCCCAAACCCTAAACCCTTAATAGTAGCTTCCGTTTTCTTTTCCATTATCCCAATATACTGTAACTCCAACATAACGGCTGTATAACCCCTATATAACTCCTATATAGCCCCATGACATTCCTGCCGGAGGTGAAACGGAGGGGAACGAGTCCCTAGCAGGGGCGGCCTTTGATCATTCAAATTTCACCAATCCTGGCAATTCGGTTCCTACTCAGATTTAGGCTTTAGGGTTCAGGGTTTAAGGTTTAGGATTTAAGGTTTACGGTTTAGGGTTTTAGGTTTAGGGATTTTCCAAAATAGTTCTAAAGAGAAAAATCTGATGGGTCTGCATTGTAGGGGATCCCTAAACCCTAAACCTAAACCCTAAACCCTAGCCCTAACCCTGAAACCCCAAACCCCGAAACCTTAAACCCTAAAATCCTAAATCCTAAACCCCGGGCATGTCAAACCCTAGGGGCTATCTGCGCTGGGCCCCAAGGTCTGAAGCCCCTCAGATGGTTAAGGGAAAAAGGGGCACTTTTTTTTGGAAACCCCAATGTTGACATGTGAGCAACATTTCAATAGTTTCCATTTCCTTTTCCATTATCCCAATATATCCCTATATGACCCCTAGATAACCCATTATATTATAGTAGTTCCATTTTATTTTCCATTTTTCAGATCATGACCACGCTCCATCTAAAATCTTGACAGGCCTTGAGACCCCTGGTCCATAAGCCCAGTGTTACGTAGCTTAAGAATTTTCTACGGGCGCAGTGCGCTGCGTAGCTATGGAAGCTATGGTTGAGGGCCTGGTTCCTACACCAAGAAGGAGCCCTTTTCGATCTCTTTTTATGGTTAGTATGAAGCCCCCGTACGAAACAAGAGCACACACATTCCCACTTATTGCCAAAATCCCATGTAACTCCCAGGAAAGGCCTTAGACCCTGATCCCAAATCACCCTGAACCCTAAACCCCAAACCCCTCTACACCCTGAAACCCTAACCTGAAAGCACCCCTCTATAAATCCCTAATTCCTGAAGCCTAAGCCCTAAATCCTTTCTACAACCCTAAGCCAGAACCCTAAACCCTAAACTAAACCCTCTATAACCCCAATATAATAGTCTCCATTTTATTTTCCATTATCCCAATATAACCCCAATATACTATAGTAGTTTCCAGCTTATTTTCCATTATCCCAATATAACCCAAGATAAAAACCTTTAATACAAAAGAAGATTCCATTTCAGGTTTCAGTATTCCCCAAACCCTCAACCCGAAACCCAATTTTTCTTTTTTAGTCCAGGTGCTGCGTGCGGGTAGAGGTCACCGGCTTGCGAGTCGCCGCTCTCGGCTGTCTCTCGGATGCTCCGGCAGAAGGCGGCCTGAGGCAGCATGGGTTTAGGGTCTAAGGGTTTAGGGTTTAGGGCGTAGGGTTTTGGATTTAAGGTTCAAAAGTTTCAGGTTTAGGGTTTAGGGTTGAGGGTTGAAGATTTAGGGTTGAGGGTGTAAGGTTTAGGGTTTAAGGCCTGGGGTTTAGGGTGCAAGGTTTAGGATAGAAGGCTTGGGATGTTTGGGAATCCTTAAAATAATGATTATGATATATTAAAGTTCATATTTTGGGGCCTGAGGCATTCTTTCGTAGCAGTTTCGGGGGAATCCTGATTAATAATGAGTAATTTAATAGGGTTCATATTGGGGCCCCCTTTTAAACGGAAACCCCTATTTGGGGTGCGAGGTTTAGGGTCTTGTGCTCAGGACTGACAATTCAGGACTTAGGAGAACAAAACCCTAAGCCCTAAACCCTAATATACGGTGGGGAAATCTCTGCACTCCGCATTGAGAGTCGTAGAGCTTGGGGCTTTGCATCTCAGATTGGTACTAATGGCACTTTCCCCAAATAGGGGACCCCGACATAAACTTCAAAATATCTAGCCCTTAATGATAGAGACCCCCAAACAGGTACCCCCCAATTTTGGGAACCCATCATCATGGTGTTGACTTACCATGGCATCTCATACTGAGAGTGATGAAGGATTGATGGCCATGATCAGTGTTCATCATGTGAGCTATAATCACCCCTTAATCAGCCCTATAATAGGAACCCTATATAATCCCTGTATAACCTCCTTACAGGAGTTTAGACTATAGCTCATGTCATAAGTGCTTTCACCCGTTTAGACAGTCGCGGCAACAACTGCTCTAGTGACTCTTCTGCGTGTTGGGCCCTGCACACCCAACAGCCAGTTACCAGCAAGTCGAAAACTGCTTTGCAACCGGCACCCTGGCCAACAGCCATCGAAGGAAGTCGAGGAACAAGAAAACATGCTTACAACATCTCCCAAGAAAGCAAAAACGAATACCCCACAGATTTCAAAGCATATGTTGCTTGTGCATACTGACTGCCGTTGAGTTCTTGCAGAGACTTGAGGCCATCTTCGAGTAACTTAAATTTACAAACCTGATTGGAGCAGCGTGCGTTTCGAGGTTTGCAGGGCGTGCAGTGGGCTGTACATTTCCGCTGGTCTTCATGCCTCTGGGCTCTCTCGGTCCTTGCTCTGGTGCAACTGCCCGAGCAGTCTCGCGGCCTCCTTGGCATTAGCCTCTGTATAGTCTAGTGTGTCCAACTGATCGACACATCGGCCTACACGCTTCGCAAGCTCCTTTCCCCTGCTGAGTGCCTCTTCGCGCAGCCGTGCCAAGTGCACCTCGCTGTCCACCAAGGCGTTGAAGGCCTGCACTGTCCGCAAGCCAGTCCTCATACGGACGATCACATCACATAGATAGCACTACCACAGGATCCAAGCGCGAGATGTTGCGGCAGCAGAACCCCATCGAAAAGACGTACACGACCGTGAGGATCGTGCCCACCGATTTGCGCAGCAGGAGAGCTGTGCAGGTGGCCGCGTCCAAATGCGCACAGCCGGTCGTGAGGACAGCTGCCACAGTGGCCATGTTGTATCCGCAGAAGATCGCCGAACAAAACAGGCTGAGAAGCACCTGCTCGTGAAGCCGCGATCGGAGTGATATCGACCAGCAACCCAACGAAAGGCGGCGTGGGTACGGGGGTAGTGAGGGTATGCGGCTCGGACTGATCAGAGAGAGCACATGTGCGGGATGCAGCAGGCTGCACAGCAGACTAAGCTGCCCAACGGTGCAGTCTCAGCGCTCAGCTCGTAGTACAGGAATTTCGAGCCTCCAGCCTGAAGTTTCAGAAGAGCAGACTTGCGTTGGCCGTCAAAGCTTCCGCGCAGCGGGACCTATGTTCCTCCCACATTGATGTGGGGGTCAACTTCCTCCTGACCGTCAGGCCTAAACACCGCCACGATTGCAATCCCTTTGTCAATCTGGTGCTCGCTTAGCTTCACAGGGTTCCTCTGCAGCTGCGCTGATTTTGCCTGAAAGTCGTGGAGGCGCTTCCTCCACGAAGCACAGCAAACATCCGCGATCTGCTCGGACTTCTCAGTGATGTCATCGCCAGCATGGACTTGAAGAAGGCCGGTGCTTGATTCTGGCAGGAAAAGAAGCTGCGCCAGTTGACTAATTTCCTCCTTTGCTGTATGGGGGAAGCCTTGGCTGCAACGTTCCCATCTATCAATCCGTGAGATTAAGCGCAGAGCGTCCTTGGCCCTGCTCTGGCACATTTCGTGCGCCAAGCGGTCAACGATAGTCTGAAGCTCCGCGATTGCCCCTTCGGCTCTTCTAAGAGCCTGCAGGGTGGCAGCCAGGAAGCTTGCAAACTCACCTTTCAGCTCAATGGCTTGCGATTGCAGATCATCATCGTAGTACCATATCACTTTCAGGCAGACTGAAGCCATGGTGAAATAGATGATCAGGCCCAGAACCTCCATGGCACAGAGTGGCGGCCCGAAGAGAAGAATACCAAACTTGCCGCAGTGCCCTTGAAAAGCCTATTCAACCACATCAGCGTCCAGGCACGAGACATGGTGAATGAGATGTAGAGACATACATGAACCACATCTCGAGGCCAGTAGATATCGATGATGAAATCCCATCCCTCGCCCACGAACGATTTCGCGCAGCCCTTGAACTCGTTCCCTGCTGGGTTCACTGATTCCATGGATTCCGAAGCTGTATTGAAAGTCCTGGGCTTCTGCTTAAGAACTTTAAATTATGTTACTATTATAAGGAAAACCATTCTCTACTACATACCTATACTATGGCAACAAAATTTCAATTTCTTATCCGCAACCCAGATTCTCCATCGCCGATTCCAAGTCTGCCCGAGCCATCTCAGTAGCCATCTGGTCTGGTCAGAGAGTATCCCTCCCCCCTCTTCCCCGAAGACCCATCAAAAAAAAGCATGTCTGTAAGTTTTCCAGGTACAACCATGTTCAACCTCCAAACTCCAAATCCAGGCTTGCGAAGCATTGAGCCCTGCGGCTGAGGAAGGTAGGGCGGAGGCAACTTCCTTGACTGCTTCGAAAAAGTTAAATGAGCCATAGTCTAAACTCCCCAAGTGGGTTATAAAAGGGATGATATGGGGGAGTACTAAAGGGGTTATTAACGGTGAATACTAGGAGTTTAGACTATGGCTCAAATGGAAACCGAATCACAAGTTTAAAGAATCCTGTGCACTTCGGTTAGCAGAATTCCCCGGAAGCCCGAACCCTAAAGCCCAAATCCATTCTGAACCCTGACTGAGTCCCTTCGTTCCTAAGCCTATCCTACCATGGCCTCACTCCACCGTTTGTATCGAAGGATGAAGGCTGGATAGACCTGCCAGGATTTGGGGTTTGTAGGTTTGTACTGTTGGTTTGGATCCCATAGACTTCTCGTTAGCTGCATAATTACGGCCTTAGCGCTTTGGACGGTTTGGGGTTTCGGGCGTAGGTTCATAATGTGGTTCAGGATTCACATTTACCATTTAGGGCACTCTCACATGAAGCAGAATCGGAAGAAAGACAATCATGAAAATGATTGCCATGAAAGACTGATACTTAGCTGACCGTGCTGATTCAATCATGGTGCTTGACGCCTTGGCTTTTTCAGGTTTGGCTTTGCGAAGACTGGAGACCCTTCTGCACTGACACCGACCCTTCCTTGAACGGCATCGTCATAGGATTCCTGAGATTTGGTGAATATTCAGAGGCCGACATCACCCTGAAAGCCGCAAAAGCCTGATCCGAGTCGTAGAGGATGAATTCACGGAACGTGCCAACCTCGCTTGCATTGCAAGATCAGAGGGGCCGACTTGGCGCGCTCTGCCAAGCATGATGAGCTTCTTGTTCAGACTTTAGGGTTTCAGTTCAGGGCGGAAAATCTTAGGTCACTTCGGCCTGCTGCTACTAGGGTCTGCTGAATTCGCTCTCTTGCATCCGGACTCATCCCAAACCGGGGGCAAGCCCTTCGAATCAATACCCTCAACCCCTATATAACCCCTACATAACCCCTGTACAACCCCTACATAACCCCAATATAACCCTCATATATCCCCTATATAACCCTTGTCTACCCTCTATATAACCCCCGTGCTAACCCCTATATAACCCACTAAAGTCTTGGAGCTGAGGACGCAACGGCCGCCCAGCGATCTCCAATCAGAGAGTCATAGCTGCCGGCCTTGCACCTCAGAATTATTGTATACATATATATGTATATATATATATTGGTGTTAGGGTTGAGGGTTCGGGGTTTAGGGTTTAGGGTTTAAGGTTTGGGGTTTAGGGTTTAGGGTTTAAGGTTTTGGGTTTGGGGTTTAGGGTTTGGGGTTTAGGCTTGTATTGGTGCTATATCGGGACAATGGAAAATAAAATGGAAACTACTATATTGTTGAAGGGTATATATTGGTGTTATATGGGGATAATGTAAAAAAGAGTGGCTCAAAGCAGAATATTGGGTTTCCCAAAATTAGGTCGTACCTTTATGGGGGTCCCCATAATAAAAGCTACAGTATTTTAGGGTCTATATTGGGGTTCCCCTATTTTGGGAAAGTATCATACTGGGAGTCTAGCCTTTTCAGCCGGCGTACAGGCCCTTGAAACTTCCGAAAGGCTCCAGTAGGGCAAGTTCGCGGTACCGGTACCCCTATATCTACCCTATTATAATATAGTAGTTTCCATTTTCTTTTCCAATATACCTATGTAACAATATAACCCCCATCTAACCCCAATACTCTGAGGAATTTAGTTCAGGATTCTGGTCCGGCCTCCAATGTACCAGCCTTGAACCACCAGTCATCAAGCGCGGATGCTGAATGCATTCCAATGATGTCCGAAGCAACTGCAAATGAGTTTTCTTTGAGGGAAAAGGTTGTTCTGCGAGGCCTATATATACCCTATTATAATATAGTAGTTTCCATTTTCTTTTCCATTATCCCTATATAACAATATAACCCCCATATTGTCCAACATGGAAGACTGCCTTTTCTTGCCTTATAAGCCCCCGGCTGATCAAGAATGTCTGCCGCTGGCTTCTTGTCCTGGGATCACGCAGCATGACCGTGTATGCGAAAGGACGTGCAATCATTGTCACACACCCTAAAACCGGAAACCCCAACCCCAAACCAAAAAAAAGTATAAGCCCAATCCCAAACTCCCAAACCCGAAACAGAAACACGAAGAAAACTAAAACTTCAACGGACCCACAAACCCCAAAATCCCTCAGCGTGTTGATCCTCAACCGGTGCACCTTGCAGGTCATGACCTTGCCCAGAGCTGCTCGGCAAAGGAGCATCCAGCAGTAGCCATCGGCATCCTCCTCGCTGTACTCATCTGCCTGCTGATATTGGGGATTATATAGGGCTTCTATTGGGGTTCTATTGGGGTGATATTGGGGTTACATGGGGGTTCTAGAGGGGTTACATTGGAGGGGTACATAGGGATGATGGAAAAGAAAATACTGTTTAGGGTTTAGGGTGAAAGGATTTCAGCTTCGGTTATTGGGTTCTATAGTAAATGTTCATAGGGATAAGGGAAAAGAAAACGGCGATTACTATTTAGGGTTTCAATGGCTTCAGGGGTTTCAGGGGTTTGGAAATGCAAGCTGAGCGTGGATGCTCGTGTTGCAAGCCCAGAATGCACTCCCCTGAACCAGACCCTTAGTAGTAGTTTCCATGTTCTTTTCCATTATCCCTGTAAAACCCTATATAACCCCTATATCTACCCTATTATAATATACTAGTTTCCGTTGTCTTTTCCATTATCCCTTTGTAACCCCTATATATCCTGGATTGAGCTGAAAAGGACATCGGCCGCATGTGCTGACCAGGCCAGCACATCTGCATCAATTGCAGGCGAACTTGCATTTTTTTTTGGCAGAGCCCAGCAGAGCGGGGATCCAAAGCAAAGTACAATTTTTGCAGCCCAGATAGGAGTACCACCTTGCATGGATGAATCATCAAAGTACTGCGCTTTTCCCAGGAAATCCTCTACTTGCCAAATTCCTTAAGCCCTGAAGCCCAATGTGCTGCAGCTGCCTTCGTCACGCACTCCGCGAAGTAAATGCCCTTGCCGTAGAGTGTGCCCCTGTCACCCACACTTCTCAGCTCTTGCAGGTTCTTACAAATATGCCATTTTCTGGTAAGAGCCCACTTGTCAGTGACAAGAAAGCTTTCTCAAGCACTTGAAGACAGCGGCTGTGGCCTGTGGCTGCCCGCCTTGTCTAGTCGAAACCTTGCCGTGACATGGAGGTAGCTTCTTTAAATAGGGTAACCCCAAGATAGACCCCAAAATCACATAACTCTTATAATGGGGACCCCCACAAAAAGGTACGGGCAGTTGCAGCCAATAGGTTCTGATGCTTTTCCCCTGCTCCCGCCACTATTCCTCCTGCTCCACTCCTCCTACTAGCACCACCACCATGGTCACAACTCCTACTGCTGCCACATCTACTGTGAATACAACTGCTGGTCTACCTGTTGTGATGACAGCAATGATACTCCTGGTACAGCTACCATTCATTACTACAACTGCTACTGTGTCAACAAAGACATGTATGACGCAATCACCGACGACTACAATGACTACAACAAACAACATAGCCATGATCATGAAGCGATGCGTTGGCGCCAAGCCACTCCTGATCTGAAATGTGCTGCACCGCAGCTGCAGAAGTACCGTGAAAAAGCCTCAGAGCATAAGTAGTCTTTGGCGCCATTACTCCGCGGGTGTCTGGCGTGTCCGTGGTTGCCCCCGGAGACTGAGGTCCCCTTCTGGAGGAGCTTTCACGATGGCACTCTAATACTCGCGCATAGCGCAGGTGTAAGGAGGCGGCCACTGCTCATTGGAGCTGCTGTCTGTTTTTCCAAGGATCTCCTGCAGCTGCTTGCTGTCCAGCGTGCCTGCAGACAAGTCGGAGCTCCTAGACACATGTAACCCCAAACTATATAGCCCCAAAGTTAATAACCCTATATAACCCCTATAGTAATACAACCCCTATATAACCCCTATATTAATATATTCACTTGTTAAAGATCTCTGTTGCAGGATTAGAGGGTGATCGATGGTGGAGGGCCTGCAGGGCTAAGTACGCGGCCTATAACATGTACGAGATCCGCCCACCACTCGCCAAACTTACTGCGGATTAGCAAAAAGCAGTAAAGAAATACAGTATATTGCATACAGTATATAGAAATAATAACAGAATTAGATTCCCCTATTCCCTACAACATTATATGTAGTGATTCCATAGTGATTCTATTCCCTTATTCCCTACTGACCCTACTGAAAATGAACCCTGTACTACCCTCCACCCTATACCCTAAACCCTGTAACCTGTATTATCCTAAACCTTAAACCCTGTATTTCCCTGAACCCTTAGCCTAAACCCTAAATCCTGTATGATATTCCCTGAGTCCCTACTGACCCCCTAAACCCTTAAACCCCTAAACCCCTAAACCCCTAAACCCTCCCCTAAACCCCTAAACCCTCCCCTAAACCCCTAAACCCCTAAACCCCTAAACCCCTACATACCTAAACCCTCCCCCAGTAAGCAAAACGACTCTTTCCAAGGCGCTGGTAAGCAGCGAGGTCTGCATCCCAAAAGGATCCCACCTGTAGCCTTCGCCTGGGCGCTGGACCCTAGGGTTGAGGGTTTAGGGTTTAGGGTTTAGGCAAACTCTTGCAATGATGGGTTTAGGTTTTTTTTTTTAATCGGACCTTTTATCGGACTAGGGTTTAGGGTTTAGGGTTGAGGGTTTAGAGTTTAGGGTTTAGGGTTGAGACCTTAGGGGTTTCCCAAAACAACCCTATAGGGGGATTCATGGGATATTGCCCCAAGAATTGAGAATCAAATGGAACAGATGAAACATAAAATGGGAACCGGCAGTATATGAGCCATGGTCTAAACTGCTAGTATCCCCCTTGATTTCCCCTATTAGTCCCTTAAATAATCCACTATAGAACCCCCTGTCTAGAAGTTTAGACTATAGTTCATGTAGTTTGGATGACCAGGCCTACTGGGGTTTCCTGTGGCTGCTCACAGCGCTGTTGCTTGCAAGGTCTCACAGGAGGAGGTCTTGAGGTCATCCTGATAAAGACAGCAAAATCAAGAGCAACCATATACACTGATATGAGCTATAGTCTAAACTCCTTCTAGTATCCCCAATAACAAATCCTATGATACTCCCCTGTATAACCTCCTATATTTATATGTGGTATATATACATATATGTATGTACGTAAGGTTCCCCTTCAAGGAGCTAAGACTATGGCTCAAAAACCAATCACAAACGAGACCACCGGCCGAGATGCCGCTGACCGAATCAGATGCCTGGCCGCTTGCCAGGTCTGAACCAACCCGCTCGGCCTCAGTGGTTTAGGGCTTAGGGTTTAGGATTAATCTAGGGGTAATATAGGGGCAATATAGGGGTTATGTAGGGGTAATATTGGGGTTATATAGGGGTTCTATTTGGACAATGGAAAAGAAATTGGAAACTACTATTTGGGGTGTTGGGATTCAAAGTCGACTCAAGCATCAAGACGTAAGCCCGCTCAGCTGGAAAACAACAACAGCTGCGGGTTCAGATCCCCCCCATTTTTGCAACCCAAACCGTAAATAGTAGTTTCCATTTCTTTTCCATCATCCCAACATAACCCCAATATAACCCCTATATTAGTATCACCCCAGATAGCCCCTATATAGCCCATATATCAAAATAACTCCTATATAACCCCTATATAACCCTTATATAACCCCTATACAACCCTTATATAACACCCATATAACCCCTGATAACCCTTACAACCATATAACCCCTATATCCGCCGACCCCGAAGCGGGG